AGAGAGAGAGAGAGGTTGATTTCCATTATGTCGTCTTTGTGTATATTGAAACTTCATTTTGCATTTGGCGTAGTAAAGTTTCAATCTTTTCTATAAATATGTTAATTCCCATTATGTCATGTGTGTAATCAAACGCCGAATGGTCCGAATGAATGTTACATCAGGAGCCGAGTTTACTTCACTCCCGGTGACCTGCCGTCGTAACAACACTGTGGGCGGAAGTGACTATGTGATGCCATCTTCCGACACAACATACATAGTTCTAGCAGAGTAAGCTAGAAGATGACCAATCCCGCTCCATAGGTGTCGAGTCTGTTGTGAAAGGTGCTTAAAAGGCCGTTACGGCATTAGACTCAGGGGTGAACCCACAGGGGAGGGGAGAGGTTGCTTCCTAAAAAGAACTGGGGTTGGCTCCTTTTGCATATGGTGTAGTAAAGTTTCAGTCTTTATTTCCATTATGTCATATGTGTATAGTTTTTGCGTTTGTTTGTTCTCATTTGGCTGGTTAGTGCTGACTGCTGAGTAGTAGGTTTTTTCTATGAAAAGTTGAGCTTGTAGTTATCAGATCTGTTTTTTTTCAGTATTTCTCTTTGGTGTGAAAATGCATAAGTTGATGCAAAGAATCAAGATTTTCTTAAAAAATATTTCTAGGATACGAATGCCAAGAAATGATAATTTGGATGGAAGAACTGACTAGAGATATTCTTAAATAAAATCCAGGAGTAATCCTTCAGCAGTATAAATGAGAGCTTTTAACATTAGATGATCTATTCATAGAAAATGAGGAGGCTAGTCAATTTGGTTTATGTAGTCAAGACTTCTGGCCAATCATGTACATTTTCACCGATAGCTAACAAATGAGTATGCTTGAAATTTGTTCTAGTCCATCAATAGCCTATAATGGTGGTGTCCAGTCCATACACGCACCTTGACTAATTCACCGGTACCTGCTACCGCCCACCAATAGAGGTACTGGTGGTGACCAGTCCATACACGCACCTTGACTAATTCACCGATACCTGCTACCGCGCACCAATAGAGGTACTGGGTAACTATGCGGTTTAGACTGAGAAGAAGGAATCGCCTAGTTTTTTTGCCTTTGTTGGGATTTGAATCTTGGTCTACCATGATCTATTCCAACTTCATTCATCGCTGTGCACACTCTTGGCTATGCCGATATTGGTTATATTTCTAGTTTGTGCCTTATAATGCAGAAATAGAATAGATTACCAGTGTTAATCACAATGAAACTTTTTTCCTCATTGAGATCTTTATTTTTTTCAATTAGCAGAGTGATAGTGAAAGCTCTATAGTCACGATGCTCATTCAAATTAGTGTCATCTACCTCTCTTAATCTGTGCTATTTCTTGACTCAAGGATTCAGCAGCGAAGAAAATACTTTTCCAGTTTCAATGTGTTACATGGAAATTGGAGAAAGCCCTTGGTAGCTTGCCATATGATCATTTTGACATATCAGAAGAAGTGCGAGAGCAGGTTTGTTAGCTTTGGCTTTTATCTTTTCATGTTTGTGCTCGTCTCCTTGGGGTTCCCCTCTGATATTTCTTATTTTTGATAGGTTGAATTGGTCAGAACACAGTTGAGACGAGCCACAGAAAGATATAGTGGCCCTGTAAATTCAAATTTATTATGTCGATCATTGTCCCAACCACTGGCCAAGGAGATTGATCCAATTCATTCAGGAAATAATGGAATTGGAAGTTTACATATAGAGAATATTGGCAATATTGATCATGACGTTAGGTCAAAAGTTAGACGTGTCCCTCAAGGTAGTGTTCCAAATGGAAGCGCTTGCAGTCAGATAATTCAGGAGCCAGATAGAATAGGAAATTCATCCAAGAGGTCCGAGGTTGGTGTTCCGGAGATTTCTGGTTCGACCAGAGAAGACGACTCTCCATTTAAGAGTCACACGGAGAGTACAAAGCTCGACTGTCCTGTAATTCCTATAGAGTTTCTTTGCCCAATATCCCTTGAGCTCATGAGGGATCCTGTTATTGTGGCTGCCACAGGACAGGTAAATGATATACATAATATCAGAAGCAATTCTTTTTGGTTTCAGTTCATTCTAACATTTAGTTTTCCGTTTCCTTTTCTTTCCTTGTGTTAATTTTGGGTGACATACTTTTAGCTTCTCCAACATTTGTTCTAGTGTACTCATTTCTTAATCCGACAGACTTATGAGAGATCGTACATACAACAATGGATAGATGGTGGGCACACAACATGCCCAAAAACTCAGCAACAACTCCACAATCTCACGCTCGCCCCAAATTACGCACTGCGAAATCTAATTAGTGATTGGTGTGCAAAGAACAATATAGAGCAGCCAACCGCCATTGCAAATGGGAAAATAAAGAAAGGTGATGGATCATTTCGCTATGTTAGTCGAGAAGTAGCGGCTGTTGAGGTAATTGTACGCAAGCTTTCAAGCAGGTCCATCGAAGATTGCAGGGCTGCAGTAGCCGAGATCCGTTCACTTTCTAAAAGAAGCACGGAGAACAGAATTTTGATTGCTGAAGCGGGAGCAATTCCAGTCTTAGTTAAATTATTGACGTCTGAAGACAGGCAGATACAAGAAAATGCTGTCACTGCTATTCTTAACCTTTCTATATTTGACGAGAACAAAGGTATTATAATGCTTGCCGGTGCTATTCCTTCTATCGTTCAAGTTCTCAGAGCGGGGAGCATGGAAGCAAGAGAAAATGCAGCAGCAACCATTTTTAGTTTGTCACTCGGAGATGAGAATAAAATATTAATAGGTGGATCGGGGGCCATACCAGCACTCATTGATTTGCTTCTGACAGGAGATATAAGAGGGAAGAAAGATGCTGCATCAGCATTGTTTAATTTATGCATATATCAAGGAAACAAGGGTCGGGCTGTTCGGGCAGGGATTATACCAGCACTGCTAAAAATGCTGACGGATTCAAGCAGTTGCATGGTTGATGAAGCTTTGACCATTCTTTCGGTCCTAGCCAACCACCAGGAAGCTAAGGCGGTCATAACAAGAGCTAGCACAATCCCGGTATTGATAGATCTTCTGAGGACAGGTTTACCTCGTAATAAAGAGAACGTGGCTGCTATCTTACTCTCGTTGTGCAAGAGAGATTCTGAGAATCTTGCTTGCCTTTGTAGGCTTGGTGCAGTTATACCTCTTTCGGAGCTTGCTAAGAGTGGCACCGAGAGAGCCAAGAGGAAGGCTACTTCATTGTTGGAGTACCTAAGAAAGTCTCAGCAGCTCTAACAGGTGTTATAGCAGTTAGATTCTCATTATTTGTTTCTTTAATTCTTATCTGACCACGAAAATTACACTATATCTTAGAGTGTGATCTATGAAAACAAGCATGAGAACAATCTCATTCTCATTGCTTTATATATGTCTAATTTACTGGGTTTAAGAGTGCCACAGAGTGGTTTGACCTTTTCCTTTTTTTTTTGAATTACTCAACTACCAGTTCATTACATTTGGCGCTAGATATATAAACTAATGTAGAGAACAGGGCATTTTGATATTTGGAGAAGTGTACTTTATGTATCTTTTTATTTGCCTTTTTTGTGTTGTGGCATCTTCGTTGAATTCTGTATAACAACTAGTACTTATTTTTGGGCTCTAAAGATGGTTATTTTCCCTTCTTTAAAATATCAATGACTAATATGACTAGGTGAGACTTGGAATTGTCTTCAAATTCCATAGTAATGGCAATGGAATGTTATGCTATAGTACTGGTCTGAAAACGTTTCTTCCAACAAAAGTGATCGTTATTAAAGGAAAGAAAATTACAAAGAGAATAGAGACGAAAAAGAAAAGTTAATCCCTACATATTCTGGTAATTGGTTCATCTCAATCTCATTATGTGGCGACCTCTAATAGTTGTCACCAAAAGTATGTGCTATATATACCTAAAATTTATTTCGTGGCGTTACTTTTTGTGGTAATCATGGTCGTCACAAAAGCTAATAATAAAACATTAATAATAATGCAACAGGAGCAAACGCACATTCACATTGGCTGAAGCCTTGGCGGAAAGTTTCAAAAGAATTATATATGTAAAAATAAAAATAATTTGGATTAACCAGTATTTTCTAATGATAAAAGTAATACGGTAGAGAATAATCTACTCACTTCATGTTTATTAATGTTAGAGCACTACATGAAATTAAGTTCTTGGTGATGGAAATATTGTGCTATATGTCGCCATATGTAATAGCGTTCCACATTTCAGTGACGACTTTCTATAATTGCCACCAAAAGAGGAACTCTATGTCGCCAATTGTAGGAGTGATGTAATTCAGTGACGACCTTCCGTGGCGACCGATACAGTCACCGCTAAAAGTGAGTCGGATATTGCCGCGACCTTCTGTGACGACATACAGAGTCGCCACTACAAGAGGTGATGTAGGTCGCTAATTGTAGCATCGACTTTTAGAGGTGCCACTAAAAGAGGTGCTTTTGGTCGCTACTGTAGTAGCGACCTTCTGTGACAACTTTCTAGGGTCGCCCCTAAATGAGGTGTTATAGTCGCCAATTGCAGTAGCGACTTGCTAGGGTCGCCACTACAAGAGGTGCTGTAGGTTGCCAATTGTAGTAGCGATGTGTACGGTCGCCACTAAAAGGGTGCTGTATGTAGGTAACCATTTACTTAAGCGACCATTGTTGCCATGCACAAAGCTAATAATAAAACAAGGATAATAATGGAACAAGGGAGGATCATATTTACATTTGTTCGGTGAATAATTTTCACAAAAATTATTTATAAAACAAAAATAAAAATAAAAATAATTTTGATTAGCCAATATTTTCTATGTAAAAAGTAATACTTTAAAATATAATCTACTTGGCTTTAACAACTCACTTTCATATTTGTTACTGTTACAGATGTCTACAGTCGCCACTAAAAGGGCAAGCACTTGGCCAACATGAGTATAAGGTCGAGTTAAGCAACTTGATTGCTCACGAGCGAATTTTCTAATGAAGAATTGACAACTTGTTTAATGGAACTTTCTATGAAGTTGGCAGCCCTATCCAAATTGCCTCAGAATAAGTTCTTTCTTTGATGTCCTAACTTATAACAAGTTGCAAAGTTTGTGGATATATCAAAAGAAAAAAATTAAGACTAATCAACGCTGCATGCAGCCTACTTTTTGCTACATTTTTTTGCTAAAAAGTAGGATAACGTGAGGGAAAATAATGAAGGAATTCAATGATTATTTTGCCTCCTTTTCGAGAAAAATTGCTACTTTTCACTATATATAGCAAGAGATAAGATTCATTTGTTTGACCTTTGATTTATGCTTTGTGAATTTTTTGTTCCCTTGTTGAGAAAGCGACTCCATTCAACTGTCCATTTCCACTTGCCATTTTAGGTGCTAGTAAGTAAATGTCACTAAAAGTCTTTATCGATCGACAATAATTGAAATATTTACCGATAGAGATGAAGCCACAATCAATATAAGGTTCAACTGAATCTCCTTCGTTGAAAATTTTTATTGAGCAAATAGGATAAAATATTTTTGGTGCTAGTAAGTAAATGATAATTTGGATGAAAGAACTGACTAGATTTATTGAAATGGACAGAAATCAGCTGATGGAATTAGGAGTTTTAGATTCATTTGGCATTAGAATGTGCAATATTCAATGAGCATTGATACTTAAGGAACTGATCCTTTGTCAGTAACAATTGCTAGTCATGAACTTAGCTTTGCTAGTGAAATTCCTTAGATGGACCAACAATGTTTCTAGTTCTACTCAATCCCCTTTGTATATCAGCTAAGTTCTCAAATTTACCCTGATATTTGTTATTTTTCCAGTTTGTGCCTCCAAAATGCAGAAATAGAACAGATTGCCGGTATTAATCACAATGACATTTGAGAAGAAAAGAAAGTTTTTCCTTATCGATATCTTTATTTTATTTTAGTGAGCACAGTGATATTGAAAGCTCTATCATCATGATATGCTCATTCAAATCAACGTCAGAATTCGGGCGCCGAATCTCCTAAAATTTTGCGGTCCCATAAAAAACGACCTAATGAACAATAGTTATCATTTCATGACCATTTCTCGTTTATTGGTGTTTTAGGGCCATAAAACAGGAATTCAGGACGATTCATATATTTTCGTGTGCTATATTCCACAACATCTACATGAATTCGAGCGACCGGTTCCAAATCTCCCAAAATCTTACAGGCCCATAAAAATGACCTAATGAACAATAATCATCGCTTTGCCATGACCGTTCCTTATTTTTTGGGGTTTTAGGGCCATAAAATAAGAATTCAGGACGATTCCCAGATTTTCGTGTGTTATAGTCCACACCATCTGCATGAATTCGGACAACCGGTTCCGATAAAATGACCTAATGAAAAATAGTCATCGCTTCTCCATGACCGTTTTTTTTTTGCATTTTAGGGCCATATAATAGGAATTCAGGACGATTTCTAGATTTACGAGTGCTATAATCTACGACATTTGCATAAATCTGGACGACCGACCCCGAGTCTCCTATAATTTTGCGGGCCCATAAAAAATGACCTAATGAACAATAGTGATCTCTTCGCCATAATTGTTCCTCATATTTTAGTGTTTTAGGACCATAAAATAGGAATTCAGGACGATTCCCAAATTTTCGTGTGCTATAGCCCACGCCTTCTGCATGGGTTCAGACGACTGGATCCGGATCGCCCAAAAATTTTTCGGCCCATCAAAAACATCCTTAGGAACAATAGTCACCGCCTCGCCTTGACCGTTACTCAATTTTTTGGCCCTTTAGGGCCATAAAACTGGAATTTCGAGCGATTCCCATAATTTTGTGTGCTATAGCCCACGCCTTCTTCATGGGCCCGAGCCACCGAACCCAAATCGCCTAAAATTTTGCCAGCCCATAAAAAATGTCCTCAGAAATAATAATCTCCACCTCGCCATGACCGTTACTCATTTTTTAGCGTTTTAGTGCCGTAAAATTGAAATTCCGCCAGATTCCCAGATTTTCCTGTACTATAACCCACGCCTTTGGTATGGGCCCGAGCCACCGTATTCGGATCGCCTTAAATTTTGCCGGCCCATCAAAAATGTCCTAAGGAACAATAGTCACCACCTTGCCATGACCATTATTCGATATTTGGAATTTTAGGGCCATAAAACTGAATTTGTTATATCCAACGCCTTCAACATGGGCCCGGGCCACCAGACTCGGACTGCCTAAAAGTTTGATGGACCATAAAAAATGTCCTAAGGAACAATAATCACCGCCTCGCCAATGTCTTTAGGAACAATAGTCACCGTCTCGCCATGACCGTTACTCATTTGTTTTTTGCGTTTTAGGCCCATTAACCTGGAATTTTGCCCCGATTCCAATATTTTCGTGTGTTATAGCCCACGTCTTATGCATGGACTCGGGCCATCAGAATCGACTCGCCTAAAGTTTTTCCTCGCTATCAAAAATGTCCCAAGTAACAATAGTCAATGCTTTGCCATGACCCTTACTCGTGTTTTAGAGTTTAAGGGCCATAAATTTGGAATTTCGTCCGATTTCTAGATTTTCGTATTCTGTAGCCCACGCCTTCTGCATGGGCTCAGGTCACCAGACCCGGATTGCCTAAAATTTTTTCGGCCCGTAAAAAATAACCTAAGGAAAAATAGTCACCATCTTGCCATGACCGTTACTCGTTATTTGGCGTTTTAGGGCCGTAAAATTAGAATTTCGCCCAATTCCCAAAGTGTTATGTGCTAGCCCATGCTTTCTGCATTGGCCTGGGCCACCAGACCTGGATTGCGTAATATGTTTTCAGCACATTAAAAATGTCATAAGGAACAATAGTCACAGTGTGATGACCCAATATGTCATCTTTAATTTTAAATATTTATTTCTGTATTTTAGGACCTCAAAAAGCACTATTCAACATTCCTCGGCTTACATGCGTAGTCCGTACATTTTTTCGAAAAATTTTTATATGAAAAAATGATTAAAATATGAAATAGAGCTTTAAAAAGTCAACTGAGTTGACTTCGGTCAATGTTTTGAGCCAACAGACCCGGATCAGTATTTTAACATTTTCGGTAGGTTCGTATCGTAATTTGGGACTTGGGCGTATGCCCGAAATCGAATTCGAAGGCCCCTAACTCAAATTATCGGCATTTAACGGAAACTAAAAATCTAAAGGTTTAAGAATTCCTAAATTTGGTCATAATTGAGTTTTTGTTGATACCGGGTCCCGATTTATATTCTGAGAGTTCGATCAGCTTCGTAACAATATTTATGACTTATGTACAAAATTTGAAGTTATTCCGAGGTACGTAGGCACGCTTTCCGTTAGTTTTTGAAAAAAAATAAAAGGTTTGATTTTATAAAGCTTGAATTTCTAAAGTTTGAACGGAGATTTGACTTTTGAGCAAACGACCCCGGAATAGAATTTTGATGATTCCAATAGTTTCGTACGATGATTTCGGACTTACGCGCATGTTCGGATTTGGATTTGGATTTGGAAGTCCGTAGGACAATTCGACGCATTTTGGCGAAAGTTGGAAAATAGAAGATTTTTTGGAAAGTTTGACCGGG